GCACCCCGGTCGTCGTCCAGAGCACAAACACGGTCCACCAGAGCGTCCCGTCGTCCACCCTCGTCGTCACCCAGACGTCGGCTCCCGTCGTCACCGCCGCCGCCCAGGCCCACGCCCCTGCTGTCGGGTACCTCTTTGCCGGCGTGATGGGTGCCATGGCTCTGTTGTAAGGGGCGAATGAAAACAAAAAAAAAAGGTGTCGCGCCCAAGGTTTCTTTTTTTTTTTCTCTTCTTCCCTCTTCGCTTCGTCTTGACTCTTTTTTTCTTCTTGACTACGTGATTGGGACCCCCCTTCCATCCGCTGCTGCACATTCCATTCAACAGTGGACACGTAGGCATTTTTCTTCTTCTTTTATCCCGAGTATAATTACGGGAGTAACTAGGAGTACGGGGATCGATAGTGACATAGTAGTGCCCTTTTTTTTTGGCGGGGAGAGTACATGCTTGGATGAAGTGATGATTCTTTTTGACGCCGTCTATGGGTGTTGTTTTTTTATTTCCTCCCCTCTTTTGGTAGTGGCTCATCTGTTGAGGGGGCGGTACAAGGGTACAAGGGGCCACGTTCCCTGCTTGAGTAATGACGAGGAAAAGTAGGTCTAATATATATATTTAATGACATGTGCTTGAATATGAACAAGTTGCGACCTGAAGAAGTAAACCCTTGCTGATTTTTCATTGTGTGTATAACTTGACTCCATCTTGCTAGCTTCTGACGCACCGCGATGTGTGAACTCACTCGTCTAGGTGTGAGATGCAAAATAATCCAATTCAAATAGATCAATAAATCAAGCAACCTAGCAACCAAGCACATTTCCAACATTTGTCACGATCCTACACGGCGATGAACCGTTCTGGATTGGGCTCCACAACCTCCGTGACTTCCCTCTCAACGCCCGTAAAGGTCGTCCCGGGAAAGTACCGCGGGATGTTGAGCAGGAATGAAGAGTTGAGGTCAATCCACACCACCATTCGGCGAAGCAGGCCGCCCAGCCCCAACGAGTCCAGCCCGCCTCTCAGTTCTAGCATGCGCACTAGGCCCTCCATGTGCGTTTGGTAGGAGAGCACGTCGCCGTGCATGGCCTCGAAGCTGGCCATCTTGGCGACGGCTCCGATGAGACAGTCGCTCGCTAGCGTCTTGTCGTCCTTGAAGGTGTTGTTGATGGCCGTGATGGCGTCGTGCTTCATCCGGAGGATGTGACACCCCAGGGTGCTGATGTTGTTGACGGAGGCGTAGTTGGCTGCGGCAAGGAGCATGACCACTTGGAACGGGGCGTTGTCCGAGAGAACAAGAGGGAACCACCTGGACCTGAGAAGGCCCTTGTTGCCCGGCTGGTCCAGTTCAGGGATGTCTCTGGCCATTTGGACAATATCTATGTGATGTGATGGTGAGCATATATTCAAAGCGAGCTGTGGGACATGCTGCGTCTCGATGGCGCTTTTCTTTGTATAAAGCCACGAAATATTGCATCATTGGTCGGAAATTGGGATGGACTTACAGTGGTCTGCCAATGCTGGGATATAAGGCTCCCATGGCCCCGGATATGATCTGAATGGATCTACACGACCACCCCCAAAGTGCGTATCCATGGGAGGGAACCTGGTGAGGCTCTGTGCGAATAACTGAAGCAGCCTGTCTCCAGGCAGGCCGTCGAACTCCTCGGCTCCCGCCGCATCTTGGACGGTCCCCGATGTTAAGACGGATGGTGGTGCAATTGGGCCGGCTCCAATATATTCAAACGTGACGGTTTGAAGCTTGTTTCTCCTGCGGCGACTCACCTTCGTGGCGGCTGGTTTCCTGTCAGGGTTGGCATTGCCATCTCGGATGCTGCTACTCGAACTCTGGGCCTCGCTTTTGGACCCAGAAGAGGACGAGTTTGATGGTGAAGACTCAGACGAGCTCTGTGACTGTTGCTCGTACTGCGCGCGGTGTTCCCTCCAGGCCCGCTTGGACAGGAACGATCGAAGTCTGCGACTGGTGTCGACTTTCAGCTCCTGCGGCCGACTGCCAATGACAAATTCGAACTCCGTAGGATGCGCAGCCTTTGCTGCCTGCATAGCTGGATTGGTGGCTGATGTTGACGATGACGAAACACATAGAAGTCTTGGACGATGACAGGCAACATGCAGAAACCTAATTGGGAAATTGTTGGATACAAGAGCCCTAGACTCGGTGTAAGGCCGTATCCACGAGGTACTCCGTAGGCTAGCTTGTTTATAACTCTATAAAACCAAAATGCTGTAGCAGTTGAGGATGCGGAGCCCCCGGATTGCAAATAGATTAGTTTGTCGTTAGCGCCAACTGAAACGGGACCTCTGATTGGAGTTTTGGATGTGTTTGTGCAAGGCCTGAAGAGAGTTTCTGTAGGCAAAGCGATGGCAAGGGTCAAGGCTGGAGAAGGTTGTATTGGATGGAGAGTGTAGACCGTCACGAGGTTGAAGTCAAATGGGGAGCAGCCCGTTGCTTGACGTCGAATGTTAGAGAGGGGGGTGCGGAAGTTAGGAAAGAGGGAAGGAGGCAAGAACACAACACAGTCAGTTCCTGCCGGAAACCCGGCCAAGTCACGAGCAATTTGTCTTGTCTCTTCTTCGTTCCACTACATTGCAAGGTGTGCAACACCAAGCGTGTGCTTTCTTTTGTTCACATCGTGTCCTCCGTACCTGTTGCAAGCTATATGTTATGGTTTGTGTTCCCTTCGGGAATTGGCACTGCCGCGAAGTGGTGGCGTTACGACGGTGAGGGGTTCAATGGAGAAGGCTGGATTCAAGCCCGCAAGAGAGGACAGGACGAGAAGGGCTGCAGTCTTTGACAAGATGTGTCGCCTCCCGTCAAGCATTGATTATACACACCACTAACATATAACACCTAACCTAGAATGCCATCGTGAGCGACATGCAGGTACCTGAGGTACTAGGCACGAACGACACGTTGTACCTGCCACTGGATATTATGCTCCATCCAACCAGTGTCACATCCCCAAACGGACCTTAGCTACCTAGGTAGCTTGACGTGCGAGCCCGAGGCTGCTGGGTTCGTACCTTGGGCCTAAGACGATCGTTCATGGGTTGAATTGCCACGAGGCCAATCCATCTTTTGGCGGGACAAATAATGTCGCGCTCTAACCAAATCGAGGCAATGCATCTTGAAGCAACCGCCGCAGAGGGCCTGTGGATATATATTGGTCGGAACAAATCAAGACTTGATTTCATGCGCCACCGTTGAACTCAAACGCTCCGACCAGCATCCTCAATGCGGCTCCTTTCCTAAAGAGGTGTCTGCAACAGGCGCATCTAGTGAAGTCAAATTCTGAGGGGTCTCCTCGTGCAGGTATTATGCCTTGCCTTGTGGACTTGGTTTCCCGACTCTTGCTTTCCTGGTCGGGGCTCTGAAGCACGTCACGGAGCTAAGCCTGTCATTCGGAGGATTGAAATCCGATAAACTCTGATGCCATTTGGAAACTGAAAACGGCCGGCAGGCAGGCAAGTTGACAGCCATGGAACGGCGTATAAAAGGCCAGAGGAGAGCATGAATTTTTTTTTGAGGGGAAAGCCTATGAAAGCTCGAAACTCACTAGACAGCCCTCAACTCAACAAGTCTTACACTATCCTGGTTTTTCACTGCTTTTTCACTTCGATACACCTTCTGCACAATGTCTCTCAAGGGAAAGACTGCCATCATCACTGGGGGAGCCAAGAATCTTGGCGCCGATATTGCCAAAGAGCTCGCTGCACTTGGAGCCAACCTGGCCTTGCATTACAACTCTGCCAAGTCGAAGGAAGATGCCACAAAGTTCGAAGCTGTGCTCAAGCAGAAGTACCCTGGCATCAAGCTCCAGTTCTACCAAGCCGACCTCACCACCGAGGCTGCCGTCAACAAACTGTTTGACTCTGTGAAGAAGGACTTTGGGAGGATTGATATTGTTATCAACACGGTCGGCAAGGTGCTCAAGAAGCCAATTCAAGATGTTACGGAAGCCGAGTACGATGAGATGTTTGCGTACGCGAATCCCAACTATTCCTATTTTCCCCTCCCTCTTATATGCAGCTCTTGGCGAGACTAACGTGGCATAGGGTCAACTCCAAGTCTGCATTCTTCATTCTCAAGGCCGGCGCTAAAAACGTCGAAGACGGTGGCAAGCTGATTACCATTGTCACGGCTCTCCTCGCTGCCTTTACCGGCTTTTACACTTCGTACGCCGGATCCAAGGCTCCAGTTGAACACTTCACCCGTGGCGTCGCAAAGGAGCTTCAGCCCCGCGGAATCAGTGTCAACGCAGTTGCTCCCGGCCCCATGGATACTCGTGAGTCGCTTTCTTGCTTTTGAAAAACCAGCCGATTGTTAGACGAACAAGACAAAAACTGATCAATTGTATACACAGCCTTCTTTTACCCACAAGAGTCTCCCGAGGCTGTTGCTTTCCACAAGAGCCAAGCTCTCGGCGGGCGCCTCACCAAGACCGAGGACATAGCGCCAATTATCCGTTTCCTCGTCACGGAGGGTGGCTGGATCACAGGCCAGACATTGTTTGCCAACGGTGGCTACACCACTAGGTAGTTGGCAACATGCAATATCATGTATCTAAAGGGTAGTTGACAAGGGAAATACGGCGTATGGGGATAGGATTAATAAGTATCAAATGCAGCGGATGCTCATGAACACATTGGCCGTGTTCATATCGCTCAACACTAGTGAACGTGCTTGCCACCTATTATCCTTGCTATATCCGAGACTTGATGAAGCTCCGCCCAATTTCCCTGTCAACCCGCAAGAGAAACTTGCATCATGGCCTCTCTTCCCCGCCATCCATCATACTCATAAATCGCCCGTTCCAAAGCTCACTTACACCACAGGCAAACCGGTCCCGCCTCGCTTGTCTTGTCTCCGCCAAGTGCCCACTCCGCCGCCCCACCCCCTCAACCTCCAAAACCTCCAAAACCAACATGTTACCCGCCATCTCGCACCTCAACTCCCATAACCACCTCTCCCAACCCGACAAACCACCATGGCACCAGTCGACCGCCTAGACCAAGACGTCCTCGAGCGTACGCAAACCCCGATACATCCCACACCCGGCGCCCCCTCTAACCTCTAGCAGAGCAGCTCAAGGACGTAATCCAAGACCTGTACCAAATCATGGTCCAAGTCTCGACCTACGACACCACCGGCCGCCCCAGCCGCGACGTCCTCTCCAACGAAATGTGACATGCCCTGGCTGCCCTTAAACCCCCCCCTCCCCCAAGAAAACGCTCAGTCTGACAGCGTGCAGGAAAACCCTCTCGGCAAGCCTACAAGCCCTCCACGCAACGACGTCGGGCAACGCGTCGCTGCCGTCCGTCCCGCCCGAACTGCTCGAGTACGTCGAGAACGGCCGCAACCCGGACATTTACACGCGCGAGTTCGTGGAGCTCGTGCGCCGCGGGAACCAGCTCATGCGCGGCAAGATGCACGCCTTCGGGGAGTTCAGGGACGTGCTGGCGCGCGAGATGGCGACGGCGCTGCCCGAGCTCAGGCCCGACGTGGAGCGGGTTGTGCGCGAGACGGGCGGCCGGCCGCTGCCCGAGGTGAATGGCGATACTGCTGCCGCGTCTTCGTCTACAGGCGCGCCGGGGAACGGCACGAGATGAGGGCGGGCTACAAGCGAACAGGATGAATGGACGGCTGTGACGCAGACGGCAAAAGGAGCAAGAGTAGACAGACACTATGATACCCCGTGATGAATGAATTTGACTTGGACTGTCCTTTGGAATGACATAAACTGGTGTAATATACACACGTCATCGTTTACGTGCGTTTCTATCCACCGTTGGAAATAACCCGTCCTTGTGAACCCGTGAGTCATGTGCTTCCTCAACCGCAGCTGAGACTGCTGTTGTCTTGTTGTGTTTCCAGATAAACAAAAAAGAATTGAAGAACAGTGAGCAAATAATTAATAAAATCACTTTGACAATGGTCTATAACGCCTTGTAGATGTTCACATGCGACGAGCGTCCCTGCGTATTGGCCTTCCCCCCCCCCCCCAAAAAAAAAAACATGGTCTATCCAGTTGGTTTCGTCGCCCTGCGGCTACTTGGCCGAACATATCTCATCAACATATACACCAGTGACATGCAGAAAACAGCGGCAACGGCAAGGTGTGGCGGCAACAAAACCACGGCCGCCAGAACCAGCATGCCGTACTGACGTAGTGTATCAACTAGATTGTTGCGGGTGTCGCGGCGTTGCTGATACTCATGCATAAGCTTTTCTTTAGCTGTGGCATGATCCTCAGGGATATTCGTGTCCCGAGAATCGCTGTCGTCTGTGTCCCACTGAACTGCCTCCTGCTCTTCCTCTTCCTCCTCACTCTCTGGCGCGTCTTGAGCTGGTGGTCACTGGAAGGGAAACTGACCGCCCCGGGATCGGCCACCGCCGGCGTTGGCAAAGTTGAACTGAGCACCGCCTGGGAAGCCTCCTGCACCTCCAGGGAACCCTCCGGCGGATCGGAAGCCGCCTCCACCAAAACCGCCCTGGTTGCCCATCATACTAAACAGAATCTCGGGGTCAATTCCACCCATGCCGCCCATACCCCCGCCACCAAACATGTCTGCAGGGTCCATGAGATCGTCGCCATTGTCATAGGCAGCCTTTTTCCTATGCGAGGGTTAGTATATGCTTGATCTTGGATGACACATCTTTAGGTTGAACTTACTGAGGATCGCTCAAGGTTTCATAGGCTTCTGACAGGTCCTTGAACTTGGCTTCGGCATCTGGATCGTCCAGGTTCTTGTCAGGGTGAAGCTTGATGGCCATCTTACGGTAGGCCTTTTTGACATCATCAGGCCCGCAGTCCTTTTCCACACCCAAAATCTTGTAGTAGTCCTTCCGTAGGCTCTTCTTCAGCTCAAGTTCGGCTCTGCGAATCTCTTTGGGAATAGTGCGGTCTTCAGGGTCAGCCTCCTGAATCGCCTTCCACTCCCGAACAGACTCCTCCCAGTTTCCAGCCTGACCAAGTGCGTTGGCCTTGGTCTTTTTGGCCTTGAGGTAACTCGGATCAAGGCTGACGGCCTTTTCAGCATCGGCGATTGCCTCGTTGTATTGCTTGAGCTTAATCTTGCACTGAGCGCGGTTCTGGAGGAGCTTGGCATTAATGCTGTGGTTGTTGGGATCAACCTGAAGAGCTTCGCTGTACTTTTCGATGGCGGCTTGGAATCGACCAGCCTTGAACTCGACATTACCTTCCTCCTTCATACGGTCTAGCCTCTGCACTGTTTTGAGCCACTTGACGGCATCACGATAATCTGGATCGCAGGTGAGGGCCATACGGAATGACTGAATGGCCTTGGTGTTGTCGCCCTGGCCATAGAAAACTCGGCCGCGGAGTACTAGAGCCTCAGGGTCTTGAGCATTGTTTCGTAACAGAGCCATCGCGATGCCTTGTGCTTCACCCAAATTATTCTCGCGGCCAACAAGCAAATGTGCATCGCCGCGAAGGAGCTGCCACTTGCGAGGCTTCAGGACACCAGGTCCCAGCCCGCGCTCCGCCTGGTCTATAGCATGGAGAGCCATTGTAACACCAGTACCTTGCTTTAGAATGTGCTTGGCCGTGTCAATGTGGTACATCATCTCTTTGGTCGGAGCCATGTCCTTGGCGGATGGCGCGGGCGTGATGCGACCAAAGGTTGTCATGGCCTCCTCGGGGCGACCCAGAAAAGTGTAGATACGAGCAAGCCGTAGCAGAATCTTGGAGTTTTGGGGGTCGAGGTCGGCAGCGCGACTACAGTCTTCCAGGGCAGCCGCATACTGGCCATTGGACATGCGAGCGGCGGCACGATTGCTCAGATAAGTTGGTGAGTCAGGGAACAGATCGACGGCTAGTGAATAGGAAACAAGTCAGCAAAAAAAAAAAAATTGTGCAAGGGAGGATAGATGGGCATGGCGCAGACATCGAGCCGTCACGCATGGTCATACCTTTGGAGTATTGTTCAATAGCCTTTGTGTAATTCTTGTCCTTGAAAAACCTGTTGCCCGCAGCCTTGTAGGCTTCGGCGTCGTCTAGAGCCGTCGGTACCGGACTGGACGGGTTAGATCTGTGTGGTGGCGGCGCAGGAGCATCATTGTGATGGGTTCCATTTGGGATAGGAACCGAGAAGTTCGCCTGGGCCGAAGGGTTACTCTGCGGCTGCGAGGCAGGCGACGAGGCGCCGTTGACCGGCTCCCGGTCAATATCCATGTGATCGCTCATGGTGGAATTGGACAACTTGGACAGGCGACGCCGCTCCTCGGGTGGCAAGTTGAGAGGATGCGTGTCGGGGTCAAATTTACTGCGCCGCGAGGACGAAGTAGACGACGGCTCAGTAGAGTGTCGAGAAAGTCTCGCGTGGCGGGGTGTAGAGGAGGACGACGACGACTTTTCAGGAGCAGGGTCCTTGGGTTCCCGGTACGAGACTGGCCGTGAGCTTCTTTTGGAGGGGGACTTATTGTTGGACGAGCCCTTTGTGGGCGACGCAGGCTCCGAGTGTGGGTGCGTCTGGTGCTGCAAGAAGTCGCGGTCGTCAACGCTAGAACTAGGCGTATGCTTCCTTGACGACGAGGTCGAGGTGGACGATTGCTTTTTGCTCCCGCCAAAGAACTTCATCTTCTAGCCAGCTCCAAAACGGGCTCTGCGGTATTAGAGCGGGACGGCCAAACCTGATGGAGCAGGGCGGTCCCGAGCCTCGACACAAGAATATATCGGATAAAGGACTCGGATGGGGGTGGGTGGCACTGTAACCGAGCACCAAGAGCCTAAGGGGGCCCAAGTCCAAAAGGTACGTAACGTGGGCAGCCCAGCAGGACGAGGCACAGTCAGCACAGTGGCGCGGTGCTTCAGGAGGCGGTAGGCCCGTCCCGAGGAGATCCAGCAAGCTATTGATTGATTGTTTCTGGGAAATGGCCGATCGAAGATGGTTCGGTGCAAAAAACGGAGGTCGTGGTTGGGGCAGGATTTTTCTTGTCGACGGAGAACGGGAGGTCCAAGGATGCAAAGAGAGCAAAAGAAGCAGAAAGAAAACTTGGCAGAGAAAAGGAAAAAAAAAAAAAGCCCTGACCAGAACTGACGTCGCAGTGCGCAAGGTTAGCAGGAGCAACGTAGGCGGCGCAAAGGAGCAAAGGAGACGGCAAAAGGAAGAGGGACGAGAAAATCCCAGCCCGCGATTTATCAAACGCTCAGAAGTGATGGGCCACGTTTGACGGGTTTGACTGGGCCGCAACCAACCTGTGACCTGGCAACTGGACGGAGGATGGAGGCGAGGCAGAGCTGCAGACTGGAGAGAGATGGATTGATTGAGGCAAATGGAGGCTGACGGACAAGGGGTGGCAGCATGAGCTCCGTCACCTCACTTGGGCTGTTGAATCGAAAATTGCGAGAGCAGCGATTCACTGCGCTGGTGGACATGGCTACGTGTTATCCTTTTCTTTGTTTCCATGCTCCGCAAGTTATTAACGAGCCCCGGAGCGCCGGTAACATTTGAATGTCTCGCATGCTCGAGGACCTTGGTCATTCGCATCGACAACCACTGTACTCGAAATGCCAATATCGTGAAGTCTGGTCAGGGGTATCAGCCAACCCCCGCAAGACAGGGGCAACGTCTCTCTCTCTCTCTCTTTTTTTTTTTGGCCGCGAAACACAAAGGTGTACTCCGTATTGTACTCCGACTTGACCACTGCGCAAGCCATCATCTGTTGGTCCATGTCTGCCTCGATGTCGCCTCACGGTGCTGCATCCTGCTGAGTCGGCCGTCCTCTCTGGGTCCTCCCCCAGCCTTTGCCTTTTGGTCTCCTTCTTCCGCCTGCCAATGATGGCACTGTAGAATGACGCCTCAGCCAGTCACCCGCATTGTTGTATCAGCAACCACTCTGCCTGCATCCCGTCCTGCCCGTCTCCCAGCTGCCCAAGCAAGCACCATCCTATCACGGTGATGTGACGCCGAGCTGGTGGAACACAGTGCCCATGTGGCCCTTGGCGGCGGCTGGTCCTCACTTGTGCATGCGACCTACAGGGGGTTCCAGAGCCGAGTCTGCAGTTGCTTAACGGGGTTTTGCACGTAGCCAGCAAGGTTTCTAGAAGGTTCAGTGGGGCCGCGACCTAGGAGTTGCTTAGATTGGGCCCGGCCGGCGCGGCAAAGTTCCTTAGTGACGTGGGCTGGAGAAAACTTTAGGACATGGAGGGGCGGATCGGCCTTGCAGCCGGCCCCGACTCGCACCTGCGCAGACTGTGACAGCGGGAGCTTGGTACGTTGATAGCCGCACACAACGTACGGAGTACCAGAACACCATACCGCACCGCCAACCCAAGCACCGATTACGCCGTGCTACGTACAGTGTATGCTAGGCAACCGCTCGTAGCCCCGTCTCCTTTTTCTCTTTCAAATCCCCCGACTTAGACAAGGTCGTCTGTAGCATCTGTTGGATGCCTTTTCTAAGCTGTGCAGACGACCGATTACGGACTAGAGGGTTCGTCTAATTTCCTTCGTCTCTCGACCTGTAATTTTATGCCGCGCAGGTTGCACCAATACACCACCCTCCGGTTGTGCCTTCCCCAAACAATGCGGGAGGTCCCATTGTGAGCCTGCCCGCCGCGCCCTTGACCGGCTCCCCTCTGCCCACT